AATCAATGACCGGCATTAGCATTTGTTGCACTATCTGTTTCCTTAATGTAGGGCTTAGGCAGGATCTGTTTCTGTACAGGGCACCTCGTTTTGGGTAAAGTTTTGAAGAGATCTTTTTCAATGTGAAGTGAAAATCTGTGAAAGAATTGCTGTATACAGAATATTATTTCTTTTTATATTGACAACGTATTGTAATGTTGGTAAATAAACCAGTTGCATTAAATGCTTCATTCCCTACATGGTGAGTTGACGACCGGCCTGCAAAATGTAAGCCAAAACAAACATGTTTAGGCGATTTGTTTCAAAGCAGCTACTCTGGCCTCTGTGCCAATGTAACATTTAATGACTACGCCCAATATATGATTTTGGACACTTAGCTCGTCCAGTGGTTGAGTGATAAAATTGGTGTTTTGGATAGAATTTACACTGATGATCATTCAGAAAGTAGCTTTTGCTTTTCTGCAAAACACAATAAAAACTCAGCTAATTCCTTCATTTAGCCGCTCAGGAAATACTTATAATAATAAGAGACCCATTTCCCCTTCAGTAACTGGATGACATCGAGTTCTGGAGGTACAACACAATTTTATTGGCCACACACGGCTTTTATGCATAACCCCATGCAAGAGGTCTACCACACAACCATAAAGGGTCACATCCCAGGATCCACCCCCTTCCTGGGTTCTCAGCACGAAAAGGGATTCTGTTCCCTTTGTCTGCAAAGTCTGCCACTAAATCCACACCAGGGGTCTTCTTCCCATAAGCCTCTGTGCCTGGGAGTCCAGGCGTGGGAAAAAGGGTCCGTCTGTTTGTCTCCCAGGCACAGAAAAGTCCGTCCGCGGGAAAAGAGCTGTTCTCTTTGTCCCCGCAGGTACCGAAAAGCCCGCCAACCTAGCCAGTGCCCCAGAAGTGTCCACACCAACCTCAGGTACTCTCACAGCGGTGCCTTCCCTCGACCAGTCTCCGCTCGCGAGTTCCCTGTGTGAAACCCTGCAAGGAAATCATCTCCTTTCGGAATACGAACGCTCCCCCTGGCCGGCGTTCATCTATACGAAATGGTGGCCACCCAGAGGCACATTAATTAATGACTTATGGTTTCACACTAATGTTGCGAGTGTGAACGTTCTGATTGATTGGTGTGAAAGTTCTAATGGGGCATCGGGGAGGTCCTCCTTTGGGAGACAAACGTATCAGGAAACAATCCACAAATGCTCCCCCTGGTGGCCGTTCGTCTGTACGAATGGTGGCCACCCAGGGAAGCACTCATTAATTGCTTCCCTTGAGGTCTGTGGTTTGACACTTATGTTGCGAGGTGAGAACGTTCTAACACAGCGTTCTGAATGGGGTATTGGGGTGGTCCTCGTTCGGGAGGCGAATGGATTCCCTTTGCGGCAGCCCTCCCGAACGGGGAGCGAATACAAAACATGAAAATACAAGGGAAAACATGAAAATAAACAGGGAAATCCACAAACAGGCAGCGGTTCTGACACAACTGTTATTAGCAATATAATGTTTTCTATGCAGAGAATAAGCACAGTTAGAAAGTCCCAGGAAGATTAGTTATTTACATTCAATTGGAGGTAAGTAGCAGTCAGGAACATGTGTAACAAGGAACTAAGTGGTCATATAGATTAAAGGGCTGCCCTTTGAGTGACTGTTACGTTATCATTAGCTTAATGACGCTGTTCAGGATTAAGAAACGGGAAATCAGCAAAATTTCTACATGAAATGCAAATTAGGATTACTTATAATGTGATTAAACCTTTCTAAGAATAACAATCTGGAAAATGAGTTAATTATAGAAGCCAATGGTAACATGATCATATTAAATTATTTAAAATATTGAAATGAAATGTATTAATGTAAGAGAATCCAAACTTAAAGATGCATTAAAACAACTTTAGCTTAATTAAGCAGTTTTGGTGTATAGATCCTGCCCCTGCAATTTCACTGCTCAATTCACTGCCATTTAGGAGTTAAATCACTTTTGTTTCTATTTATGCAGCCCTAGCCACACCTCCCCTGGCTGTCACTCACACACCATGCATGAAAAAAAAATGGTTTAATTTTCAATCAGATGTTAACTTGCTTTTGAAGTTTCTATCTCCTGCTCTGTAAATTTAAATTTAATCACACACAGGAGGCTCCTGCAAGCTCTAGAAGGATATTAACAGGGCAGGAGATAAGACATTCTATATTATGACTAGATCAGGGATCCCCAGATGTGGTAGAACTACAACTCCTCTTATGCTTTGACATTCTAAAGGCATGCAAGGCATCATGGAAGTTGTAGTTCTACCACATCTGGGGATCTACCTGTAGGGCAGCCCTGTTCTAGATTAAACAGAATGTACAATAAAGGAAGTTTAAACATTAGATCTCTCTTTACAGGAAGTGTTTAGGATGCCTGTGAACATTACTTGCACGTGTGGCTAGGACTGTAAAGTGATTTAACTCCTAAATTGCAGTGAACTGAGCAGGGAGACTGCAGGGGCATAAAATATACACCCAAACTGCTTCATATAAAGTTGTTATGGTGCCTATAGAGACATTATAAACCTAATTTTTGGTAAAAATGTTTTCTCAACTTTTGCATGGAAAATTAGATTTCTAGTTTGGGCCACAAATTTGTTGAAAACCTTTTATTCGATTTTTATAAAACTTTCAATAACCTGCTTTGCCTTTCATGATTTGTTACATTTTCATCAATAACGGTATTAAATGAACTCTATAGTGTTATGAATACAAACATGTATTCCTAACACCATAGTGCTGGAGTAGCTGTTTAGGTCTCAGGCCCCCTCAGAATGGAGTTAAAAGGTATTTAAACTTATTTTGTCTCCACCACCGTGCTAGTCTTGCTGGCAAGGCCTGAGAGTATCAATCAACGATCTCAGCTAATCTAATACTCCTATAGGAAAGCATTTGGAGGCTATTGCGCATGCACGGCCAAACGCTATGCTGAGGCAATCAGCACCTCCTCTTAGAGATGCCTTGAATCACTGCATCTTTATGGGGAGCGTTCAGTGACTGCATACAGAGTGTGAATACATTAAATGTAGGTGCTGCATTGTGCCGTGATGGCGGCCCTGTACTATAGTGTTCCTTTAAGTGGAATGTTCAATATTTATCCAGTATACAAGCATGTGAAAAGTATTTGGTTTATTTAAAATGTAAAAATGTCTCTCGTTCTGTGACATCAAATTTAATATTTGATTTATTGGCGTTGGAGATTTATCATCGTTAAGGGTTGAGGTATTTGCAAAACTGTGGAGACAGATCTATTTTTTCATAATTCTCAGCGAGTGAGTTCTATACAAAATATAAAAATAAATAAAAATCTGTAGCTAGCAAGGACCCTACAAGTACCTGAAAATTCTAACAAGCCCAACAGATCCTCTCTAATTCCCAGCTGACTCCGATTCCTGAAATGTGGTGTAGGTAGGATAATGGGTTAGTTTATTTTATCGAGCCAGATCCGTGCTGCGATAAAGGCTGTGGTTATATAACAATGTGCATCATTTCATTATATATAGACAGGGATTTACATATAATTAATTTCCTGCAAAGCAGGTTATTCATTTTTTCACGTTTACCAGAATAAATCCTACCCTTCCCCCACTAAGTAAAGCAACGTGCAAGATTAAAATATTTTATAATGTGGTAATAATAACTTATAATATATATATTTATTTATTTTACATATTTATTTTTTCTAAGATCCATACATGCTAGAAGCTAGGCACATTTCTTAGATGGTTAATAGACGTCTCTGCCCATAATATAAACTTAAATCTCAGTGTTTATCATGATGTTTAATGATGTTAAGCAGGTTTAAGTGGCATTTTAGTTGATGTAATCTTTGTGTGTGTTCTGGATAAGTACAGCTCTTGATCTGTTCTGAATGATGTGCTGCCAGCCAAATCGAAACATCTCTCCATCTCAGCTATGAGTCCAGCTTGGTTAATCTGCATAAATTCTAAACTCTCTCCCCCATTCCTGACAGTTTATGGTTCATTGAATAAACCTGGCAAGTAACTTAGCATGCTTAGACCTGCGAAGAGTTAAACATCACTCCACATTGCCTGAAGACCGGGGAATTGCCCCAGTGGCCAAGCAGTGAGTTGTCATAAAATCTCCAAGCAGCTATTTACTACAGTTTAGTGGAGATGTCTATGAGTTCTGTTGCCCAGCTATTGCCTAAAAACTAGTCTGTTTGAAAGAGTTGATAATGTCATTCCAAATTCTTATAAATAACTGGTCTGATCAACCATAGTGCTTGAAAAACTCACATGTCGCAGTGAGATTTCAGAAGACAAACAGTTACATAATAGCTGATAAAATAATGGAAGTTAATCCACTGGTCAATATGTATTCAATCCCTCCCAGCGCTGTGCAGGAGGTGGTGCCTGGCCTTGGCTGCACTAATACCTATACCATCTACCTCTGCGTAGTATAGCGCCATCTAGTGTCCAATAACAATTATAACGTGCATCACTCACAATTGCCCCAAAATGTATAGGGGTACAGGATTATTATTATTCTATTATTTATATAGCACCATCAGATTCAGTAGCGCTGGGATGTGGGCAACATACTGAAACTGTAACTATACAATAAATTTACTTGACAATATCCGCATAATGCCAACATGTCTCCTGTCCATAGAAATATATCATCTTCAAAGCTGATTAAACTTTAAAGTAAAAAAAAACTAATAATTATAATTAAAATTACTCTAACCAAAGTGCTATTTGTGGAAATACACAGGAGATGAGGTTGCATTGGCATCAGTTAACATCACTAAACATTTAATTAAAGGGACAAATTATTTTATTTCAGTTTAAATAGAAACATTAGTGAAGACAAGGAGAGGTTGCAACAAAGTGAAGGTTATTTCACACCCCTGTATTTGGGCAGGAGGCATTGGCATATGGGTATTTTAGAGTCCATGTCTGAGTACCTTGTAGAATTGTACAGGGGGCACTTTTGTATTGACACTAATTTATGAGTTTCCTCCGAATGGTGTTTGGGGGGGATTGAGCAAGGACCCACTGTATGTTACTGCTCCGCATGGTGTTTGGGGGAGATTGAGCAAGGACCCACTGCATGTTACTGCTCCGCATGGTGTTTGGGGGGGATTCAGCAAGGACCCACTGCATGTTACTGCTCCGCATGGTGTTTGGGGGGGATTGAGCAAGGACCCACTGCATGTTACTGCTCCGCATGGTGTTTGGGGGGGATTGAGCAAGGACCCACTGCATGTTACTGCTCCGCATGGTGTTTGGGGGGGATTGAGCAAGGACCCACTGCATGTTACTGCTCCGCATGGTGTTTGGGGGAGATTGAGCAAGGACCCACTGCATGTTACTGCTCCGCATGGTGTTTGGGGGAGATTGAGCAAGGACCCACTGCATGTTACTGCTCCGCATGGTGTTTGGGGGGGATTGAGCAAGGACCCACTGCATGTTACTGCTCCGCATGGTGTTTGGGGGGGATTGAGCAAGGACCCACTGCATGTTACTGCTCCGCATGGTGTTTGGGGGGGATTGAGCAAGGACCCACTGCATGTTACTGCTCCGCATGGTGTTTGGGGGAGATTGAGCAAGGACCCACTGCATGTTACTGCTCCGCATGGTGTTTGGGGGGGATTGAGCAAGGACCCACTGCATGTTACTGCTCCGCATGGTGTTTGGGGGGGATTCAGCAAGGACCCACTGCATGTTACTGCTCCGCATGGTGTTTGGGGGGCATTGAGCAAGGACCCACTGCATGTTACTGCTCTGCATGGTGTCTGGGGGGGATTGAGCAAGGACCCACTGCATGTTACTGCTCCGCATGGTGTTTGGGGGGGATTGAGCAAGGACCCACTGCATGTTGCTGCTCCGCATGGTGTTTGGGGGGGATTGAGCAAGGACCCACTGCATGTTACTGCTCCGCATGGTGTTTGGGGGAGATTGAGCAAGGACCCACTGCATGTTACTGCTCCGCATGGTGTTTGGGGGGGGATTCAGCAAGGACCCACTGCATGTTGCTGCTCCTCATGCTCTGTTGTTCGGGAAGATCCTGTAATTGCAGATAATTCCTGGTTTTAAATTTTATTTCAGTAATGCTTTACAGTCACTTAAAAAGTCAAGTCTTCAAGAACTGACTGTTTGAAGATAGGACAAGATCACGACCTCTCGATGTTCTCTTATTGCAGCATAACAACAGATTTTTTTGTGAGTTTTATATATACTATTTTATTAAACTGATGCTTAAAAAGTGGGAGAAAAATGGTTTAGACATCAAGTATTCAGATGCATGACCAGCATTCCTTGGTAATCACACAACCAAATACCTTCATTATAACTTGGAGTAAAAACACACAGCAAACCACTGACAATGCATCACTTTGGCATCACTACAGCAGCTGGAAATGAAAGGCATCTGCCAAATGTCTGTGCTTTTCTTACTGTCTGTGCTTTTCTTACTGTCTGTGCTTTTCTTACTGTCTGTGCTTTTCTTACTGTCTGTGCTTCTCTTGTTTCATCTTTTACATTCTTGGGTTTCACGGCATCTTTACCTGAGGTCACAGACTTCTTTTCAAGCCTTCCCTTCGAAGCCAGTCCTCACTCGCAAGAGTGACACAATAGCATGTGGTTCTAGAATTGTGTTACTGTTACAGTGTAAGTGTTTGATGTTCTGACAAGGAACGCTCCTCTGCAGTGGGATGAGATCCAGGGCAAACATCGCCTCTAAGTAATGTAGCGGTCTGCCCAACCTTCACACTCTTACAGGCCTGGAATCTACTCGCAGACAAAGACCTCTTTCAGTGAGATTTGGATTATTAGCTGCAGCTAGGAATTTATAATTCATTTGTTCACATTATTGACCCTTAAAATCACGTTTTGACCCCATGCAGAAATTAAGCAGGTTCTTATTTACTGTTCTCTCTTCAAATGTAGCGGTTGCCATAAAGCCCCGCCACATTACATATGGTGCACTTTAAAAAAAAAAAATGATTTTGCTTGAAAATAGTCCAATCCACTTTTACCAGCAGAGAGTGACTAGTTCAGTCACAAAGCACATTTTAATTAATGGTCTAAGTATATAGGATTTAGTTCCAGACAAAAAATATACACATAGTATCTCTTGTTAAGAGCACAAGCTCTGGGTGGATAGATTCTGCTCCTCAGGGCGAAGACTTATATTTTAAAACCACAATCTCACCCATTTTGTTTTATTACTATTGACAACCTACCCTTCACCAAAATCATGTCACTCATTCCCAGGGCCGGTGCAAGGATTTTTGCCGCCCTCACCCATTTTGTTTTATTACTATTGACAACCTACCCTTCACCAAAATCATGTCACTCATTCCCAGGGCCGGTGCAAGGATTTTTGCCGCCCTAGGCAAAAGAAAGATTTGCCGCCCCCCCCGCTGTGCCCATATGAACTAATGCCGGTGCTGCACACGGTGTGTGTGTTTACATTAAAAAGCCTGCAGGGACAAACTATAGACACCAGAACAACTTTATTAAGCTGCAGTGGTTCTGGGGACTATAGTGTCCATTTAATGTGAGGTAAATTAGAGATTAGTGTCACTAATAATATACTAGATTGCCTACTTACAATCAGATGAGGATGGTGATGGGCTCTGGCTGCAGTCTGGCTCCACTGGTCTAGAACAGGATCTCTGGAGGCTGTTTTCAACTGTGGTCACAAAATTCAATGTTCTGGGAGAATTGGAAGCAGCTCAATTTTTTTGGGGCTCCTTACACAGCTCAAGGTCTGGGCCCCAGGGCCTGACGGTGAGTATGCCCATAAAGCCCACCCATAAGGCCACCTACATGTTCCACCCATGAACTCACAGGGAGTAGAGTGTGTAGGGGATGTGTTATGTGTTACTGTAGAGGATCTAATGTGTGTGCTTATGGAATGTAGTGTATAGGGATACCAGTTTGTGTGGGTGATGCAGTGTGTTTGTGTGTAGTGGAAGCAGTGTGTGTGTGTGTATAAGGGATGTATTGTGTGTTTCTTGTTGTGTGTAAGGGATGCATTGTGTGAATCTGTGTTTGTATGCATAAGGGATGCAAAGTGTGTTTCTGTGTATGTAAGGGATGCAGTGTGTGTGTCTGTAAGGGGTGTGTTGAATGTGTGTAAGAGATGCATTGTGTTTCTGTGTGTGTGTGTAAGAGAAACAGTGTGTGTTTGCATGTGTGTGTAAGGGATGCATTGTGTGTGTTCTGTGTATATGTGCAAAGGATGCATTGTCTTTATGTGTAAGGGTTGCAGTGTGTGTTTCTCTGTGTGTAAGGGAAGCATGTTGTGTTTCTGTGTGTATAGGGATGCATTGTGTGTGTGTGTGTGTGTGTGTCCGTGGTGTGAAAGAGCTCCCTGTCCCCCTGTCCTATAGAGCTCTCCCTTCCATTCCTTAGAGATCTCCCCTGCCCCTTAGTGGTCTCTCCTCTCCCCCCCACCTCCCTTAGTGGTCTCCTTTTCTCCCCGACTTTCCATTACTGGTCTCTCCTCTCCCCCCACCCTCCCCTAGTGGTCTATCCTCCACCCCCCTTTAATCTTCTTCCCTCTTTCCCTTCTTCCCCCATAATCTTCTTCTCCCCTAATCTTCTCTTCTTCTCCCCCCTCCCATCAATCTCCCCATCAATCATCTCCCCTCCCATCAAATCATTTCCCCACTCCCATCAAATCATCTCCCCATCATCTCCTCCCTCCCATCTCATCCCTCCTCCCTCCATCCCCCATCAAATCATCTCCCATCATTCTCTCCCATCAAAATCATCCCCATCAAATCATCTCCCCATCATCTAAATCTCCCCTCCTCCTCCCATCAAATCATCTCCCCCTCCATCAATCCTCCCCCTCCATCAAATCATCCCATCAAATCATCCTCCCTCCCATCAAATCATTCTCCCTTTCCTCATCAAATCATCTCCCCCCTTCCTATCAAATCATTCATCTCCCATCTCCCCCCATCAAATCATCTCCCCCACTCACTCCATCTCATCTCCCATCATCTTCCATCATCTCCATCTCCCCATCAAATCATCTCCCCCTCCCTCCCATCAATCATCTCCCCCCTCCCTCCCAGCAGCTTCTCCTCACCTCCCCGGCACTGTAGCGTGGCCGAGCTCCTTTCCGGTCCGCGACCCGGCGGACTGACAGGAAGTGCGCACCATCCCTGTCGGCCTGGTCGTCGCCGAGAAAAACTCGGCTACCTCCGCAACTGGCAGGGAGTGAGCTACTAGCATTTAGCAGCCTGAGCTCTATATAGATCGCCAGGCTGCTAAGCTAAGGCTCGGCATGGGCAGGTAGCCGAGTTTTTCAGGAGCGGCGCTTCCTCTAAGGCAGGCAGGCAGGTGGGGCGCCGGAGCTCTGCGCCCCCATGCCCCTTTAAATTCTGCAGGGATGATTGATGGGAGTGGAGGAGATGATTTGATGGGAGTGGGGGGAGATGCCTTGATGGGGAGATCTATAGAGATGATTTGATGGGGAGAGGGATGAGATGGGATGAGATGGGGAGATGTGAGGGAGATGATTTGGGGAGATGAGGGGAGGGGGATGATGATTGATGGAGGGGATGACTGATGGGACGATAAAGGGATTTGGGGTTAGATGATGGGGAGATGATTTGATGGGGAGGATTTGAGGGGGAGATGATTTGATGGGGGAGAGATGATTTGATGGGAGGGGAGATGATTTGATGGGGAGGGTGGGGAGATGATTTGATGAGGGGAGTTGAGGTGGGGGATTGATTGATGGGAGGGGGGTTGGGGAGAAGATTGAGGGAGAGAAGAAGAGAAGATTATGGGGGGAGAAGAAGGAAGATTATGGGGGAGAAGAAGGGGGAGGGGAGAAGATTAGAGGGGGAGGGGAAGAAGAGGAGAACACAGGGGGGAATAAGAGGAAAACACGGGGGGAGAAGAAGAGGAGAACACGAGGGGTGGGAGATGAGAAAGTAGGGGAGGGAGAGACCACTAAAGGAGGGAGGGGGCAGTGGAGAGACCGCTAAGGGAGGGGGGTGGAGGATAGACCACTAGGGGAGGGTGGGGGGAGAGGAGAGACCAGTAATGGAAAGTCGGGGAGAAAAGGAGACCACTAAGGGAGGTGGGGGGGAGAGGAGAGACCACTAAGGGGCAGGGGAGATCTCTAAGGAATGGAAGGGAGAGCTTCACACACATGCAAACACACACTGTTTCTCTTACACACACACACAGAAACACAATGCATCTCTTACACACACTCAACACACCCCTTACAGACACACACACTGCATCCCTTACATACACAGAAACACACTTTGCATCCCTTATGCATTCAAACACAGATTCACACAATGCATCCCTTACCCTCAACAAGAAACACACAATACATCCCTTATACACAAACACTCACTGCTTTCTATCCCTTACACAAACAACACTGCATCACCTACACAAACTGGTATCCCTATACACTACATTCCGTAAGCACACACATTAGATCCTCTACAGTAACACATAACACATCCCCTACACACTCTACTCCCTGTGAGTTCATGGGTGGAACATGTAGGTGGACTTATGGGTGGGCTTTATGGGCATACTCACCGTCAGGCCCTGGGGCCCAGACCTTGAGCTATGTAAGAGGCCCCCAAAAATGGAGCTGCTTCCCGTTCTCCCAGAACATTGAATTTTGTGACCACAGTTGCAAACAGCCTCCAGAGATCCTGTTCTAGACCAGTGGAGCCAGACTGCAGCCAGAGCCCATCACCATCCTCATCTGATTGTAAGTAGGCAATCTAGTATATTATTAGTGACACTAATCTCTAATTTACCTCACATTAAATGGACACTATAGTCCCCAGAACCACTGCAGCTTAATAAAGTTGTTCTGGTGTCTATAGTTTGTCCCTGCAGGCTTTTTAATGTAAACACACACTGTGTGCAGCACTGGCATTAGTTCATATGGGTGGGGCATTGCGATGTTCCGGGGGGGAGGGGGGAGCGGCAAA